TACCTGTTGAACATCTCATTTCCACCTCCTCCAGCCCCTGCCACCTGCCACTGTACTCTCTGCTCCTGAGTTCAAGATACTGCATATAAGTGGAATCTTGCAGAATTTGATTCTTTTGAGTTGTCATGTATGGAAGCATCTCCTTTGAAAAAATGAATAATATTCCAGTGTGTTTACCAAAACCGGCACATTTTGTTTATCCATCCATTGATACACACTCATATCTTGGGTGTTATAAATAATGCTGCTATAAACATGGGTGTGCTGATATCTCTTTGAGATAGTGGTTTTTTTTGATATATACCTAGAGGTGGGATTACTGGGTCACATGGTAGACCTATTTTTCACTTTTTGAGGAGTCTCCATGCTGTTTTCCATGGAGGTATAGCCAGCATATATGACCATGCCAGTGTAGAAGTGTTTTAATTTCTCTGTCTCCTTGCCAACTCTTGTTATCTTTTGTCTCTCTCTATCCTTTTCTTTCTTTTTTTTGGATAGCAGCCATCCTAACAGGTGTAGGTGATACCTCATTGCGGTTTTCACTTGCATTTCCCTGATGATTCGAGATGTTGAACATCCTTTCATGTATCCATTGATTATTTAAATATCTTCATTGGATAAATGTCTGTTTAAGTCCTTTGCCCATATTTCAATCAGGTTAGGGAGTTAAATTGTCCTCTTGAAGACCTCTCCTCAGTTACATGTTTGGGTGCCAGTGTGTGTTTTGCTGGGACCCTGACTGGCAGGTAGGACGATCACCAGCTCAGGAGACAGAGCATGACCGAGACCCACTTGTGCCCCTGCTGAGACTCTGGGCTGGGATGCAGGTGTCGGTGAAGGCGTGTTTGACCTCTCCCAGGGAGGGCCATGGGCTTGCCTGTCATGCTGCAGGTAGCCCCTCCACATCTTCTGCTGCAGGAAAACCTGCTTGCACTGGGAAGCCCACATTCTGGGCACACGTATTGGGTGCCCAGATGGTGCCTGTATTTACAAAAGCCCAGCACACTGACAGGACCTGCAGACACATGGATAAATATTTTGCCTTTCTTCTTAGGCAATATTTGAATCTTTCAGATTTAATTGCTGTCAAAGGCAGGATGTTAAAATCCCTGATGCAAAGCAAACAGTGAGGGCCTCCAGCGGGCTGTTCCTGCTGCCCCAGGCAGGTCTCCTGGCTGTCACCACCAGCTATTCTCTGGTTTCTTGTTCTTGCTGAGGGTGACGCGGCCTCTTCCCTCTTTGGCTGCATGGGCTGCAGGTGCAGGGGCTCAGGGAGCTGGCTGTAGCTTGCTGGGAGCCTGTGACAACTTGTTGAGTTTGTGTTGAGGCCGAGAGCGCCTGACCTCAGCTAAGAAAGCAGGAATTTTTCTCAGCCACAGTGACAGGTACCAATCTGGCCACCACCAGTGAAATCTGGTTTTGTGCTCCAAGGCTGGGTCCAGGGAATATTTTGTTTGATCTTGGAATGATTGCGCATAGGACATGGCTAGTTTATATGCACTGTCGCGCAGATGAGATAAAGAAATTCCCTCTGGCAAAGACAGTCCCAACCTCCACCCTACCAGGGTGCAAGATTTGGCAGATTGCAGCAGCTGGATTTCAGCACCAAGTATTCAGGAAATGCCCTTGTGCGGGGCGCAACCTGCCCAACTGTACCTGTCTAAGGCAGTTGCTGATGGTATCCTTGTTACAGCCTTCTACTCTTGCCCTCTTACTTCTTTTCTACACTCCCCCTTTGTCCCCCCAAACCATTGACTTAGTTGCCCCTTGGATTACATTTGCTCAGTACAGTGAGACACTGTTCTGTGATCATACTTGGGCTTCTCCTATCTCACTGTGATTGACTGTCTCTCCTTACGTTGTCCAGACAGGGAAGAGGTATTGACTATAGGCTCACTGAGTTCTGCAGCAATCATCTCCTTTCACTGATTACATTCTATTTGCCCCAGTTACTTCCCTTCCATTTAATAAAAACAGTTGGCTTCTTTGCCTCTGTGTTCTTACTAAGGCCATCTATAGTATTCACGCCTTTATTTGGGTGCTTGGTGCACTTGTTGTGTTGGGGGCTGGGAGATAATGATAAATGAATGAGACAACGTCCCTGCCCTTGAGGAATTCATAATCTAGCGGGGGAGCGAGGCATGTAAACAGATAAATCACAGTCCGGCGGGTGATTGGGTGCTAAGGAGGAGGCTCAGGTGAGCGGGAGGGGAGGAAGGAGAAGCCCAGGTGAGTGCTCCTGCTGGGGGCTGCTGCGCACCTCCTAGATGCAAGGACGGCTTTCTGGGAGCTGCCAGTTGCACCCCCTCTGAGGGCAATCACTGTCCTTGGGAGACAGGCAGGCAGGAGCTCGAGACACACAGGGTGGCGCACTCAGGGTGCAGAGGAAAGGTCCCCCAGGCAGCAACTTGGCGGGTGGGAAGGCTGGGGCCACAGGGGAGCTGGAGCGGAGCTCGGGGAACTTTATGCCTGAGGAGTGTGGGGTTTCTCCGGTGTGCACAAAGGCCAGTGGAGGCCTGCGAGCAGACGGTGGCCCCAGAAAGGGAGGCTTTCATTGAACAACCCTGGGTTCTAATCCTGGTGTGGTCACTTCCTGGAGGAGGTCACTTAATCTTCTTAAGTGGAACTTTCTCATTTTTAAAAACAGAGATGGTGATAACAGCAACTCCGTCATACAGTCTCCCAGGTGGTAGGGCAAGTATGACCTCAGGGATGGGTTCCAGGGGTGTTGGGAATGCTGGTTCCTTCAGCTCTCAGGGAGTCTGGGCAGGGGCCGCCTTGTCTGTTTATCCCAGGGTGTCTTCTAAATATCCTCTCTGTGAGCTTCATAGTATGCATAAAGTTGGGAACTCCTGGCCTGTAAAGCAGTTGGCAAGTTCTTCCTACTTAGCAAGTTCCCATCAAATGTGGTTGTTTATTGAGCTAGGTCACTGTAGTCATGTATCATGGAATGACGGGGACCCGTCCTGAGAAATCTATTGGTAGGTGATTTTGTCACTGTGTGAACATGGTAGCATGTACTTTCTCAGAAGAAGATGGCGGTGACATCAGCAGGGAATGCCATCTTAGGCGACCACTATCATATATTCAGCCTGGCTCTGAAAAATCATTATGATGCACGTCATTATATTAGGACAACTGCCATGGAGGATGTGGGGACTGAGAGGAGATGCCAGACTCCAGGGACATTTCTGGAGTAGTGCTGAGAGAATTTGGTGACCAGTTGATGTCAGCAAGACGAGACACCATTAGGGAGGAGGAGGAGGCATTGGGGATGTTCCTATAGCCTAGACGCAGAGTGATGCTATTCATGGAATTTGTGATAGAATTAGAATGTGCAGGCTTGAGGGGTGAGTTTGAGTGGAGACTACGCTAGACACTTTTTTGGGTTCAGCAAGTCAAGGAAGCAGGATGAGAGGATGAGGTGAGGGAGGAGGTGTGCTTGGGGGAAAGTGGGGGCCTGTGAGAGACTGCAGGAGGTTTGTGGGCAAAGGGGACAGACACAAAATTTGAAAAACTAAAGATAAACGAACAGAGTGCAGACCACTTTCCAAATCTTTCCCTCTTCGAATAGAGCCTGTCCCATTTGAGGAACTTTCGCCAATAACTGGTAACTGGGAAGTTGTCCAGATATGATTTATAATAAGGCATCGGTTTCATGAGGCACTGTCTAAATTACTGCACTCCACCCATTGCCAGGTTCCCTGGTGACAGTGGGCAGGGGATGGGGGCGTGGGGTCAAACAATTCAATCAGGTGCCACCAGTTATAAATTGAAAATCAGTGGGGTGCAAAATGGATTACCATCAAACTCCATTCAGGTGCAAAACCAAATTTCACAACCCCTAACCTTTAAAAAAATCACTCCTTTCCTGGTTCTTCACAATGCCCTGACATTGAGTTTTAATATTCCCCAGATACAAGCCATTGTCAATAGCAGTGCCTGCAGGAAACCAAATGTGGCAAGGGAGGAACTCTGAATCGGGCCTTCCTTTTGGAATTTGCAAACATGGTGGAGTTTGGAAGTGATGCAAGGGTAATTCCGTTAGATCTCTAAGGCTGCAGTTCTGCAGTTCTTAAGCACACAACAGAATCAGCTGGAAGACTTAATAAAACTCAGCTGGGCTTTACCTTGGAGTTTTTGGTTTCGGGATGTCTGGGGTTGGGCCTGAGAAGTTGCGTGTCTAGCAAGTTTCCGGGGAATGTTAATGCTGCTGCTCCTGAGGCCAAACTTTGAGAATCTGGGCCCTAAAATAATTTGACTGGCAAAGTCTGCTTTGATTGATTGATTTTTGGTATGGGGAAATCAAACTCAGGACCTTGTACTTGCCAGGCAGGTGCTGTGCCGCTGAGCTATATCCCTGGCCTACTTTGATATAATAATAATGCATTGGCCTGGGTGTTGAGTTAAGGTGCAACAATTTTGTCCAGGAAGCCTGAGAAGAGACTAGTGCAAAGAGAGATAGATGGACTTGAGAACTTCGTGGTCAGAGGTGAAGTTGGAGAGGACTGGGGGGCCTGGAGGGAGAAAAGGGAAGAAATTTCCTCTAACCCAGCTCCTTGTGCAAAAGGCTGAAATGCAACATTTCTACTAAAAGCAAATGCTATCATGAAGGCCAGGGCCAAGCCTGGTCTCCCCTGGTCCCTGGATGGAAACTCTTAAATGTTTTCCAATGCCAAACTTTAATTTGAGAGTTGGTTTTATTAAGAAGGTTAGAAAAACAAGAGTACCGCCTTTTTAAAAAGCTAGCTTCTGACAGCCTAAATGTTGGTTCTTTCCACCATTACATAATCTCAGATGTATTTTTGAAAATAAATCAAAGATCTTTGTGGTTCTGTTTCTCTTCCTCTTTTGGAGCCAAAGCAGCTGTCTTATATAAAGCAGGTGTCACCGAGCCCACTATGAAAGAAGTCTGTTTCTCCAGGTCGACAAAATGGATCCCAGAGCTGCTCCGGACACAGTTGCAATGTCATTAACATTTGGGTCCCTCTCTTTTCCAGGAGAAATTGAGCGATGCACGTACATCAAGTACCACTACTCCTCAGCAACCATCCCCAGGAACCTCACGTTCAACATCACAAAGACCATCCGTCAGGACGAGTGGCATGCCCTACGTAAGTACACCTCAGCCTCTTTGGCTGTGACTTGTGTGATGTCACCTCTGGAGGGCATGGGGGACTTGGATACTGTGCCTTCTAGGATCTGTGGACAGTCTCAGGACATCGTGCTGGTCAGAATTGCCTCGGTTAGTTTTGATTGGATTATGGATTTGGGGAGCTTCTAAAAAAATACAGTAACACTCAAGCCAATACTAACAGACAAAATCAAGCCACTGGCAGTCACATAATAATCTTATTGCACTGTCCTGGTAGGCATTTATGGTTTCACTTACCCAACTGAACTTGCTCATGGGATTTAACTCCAGCCTGTCTCCAGGTTGCTAGGAATATTATGGCAATCTGCTAGGGCCTCGTGATCATTTGCAAAGGGCAAGAGGAGCTGGTGGTTGTAGGCAGTATAACTTTGGGGATTTGTACATGGGTGGGGAGCGAAGCAGGTGGATCTTGCCTCAGCTACAAATTTCCAGTGATGGGCTTCAGGCCTTGGTTCACCTGTGACTGCTTAGCACGGATCAGAATCTGTAGTCGCTCCTATGTGTTAGGGAATTTCTCGGCCAGGGATCGTTAGGACTTAAATTACAATAAGAGAGTGACTTAACGAGGCGACAGAGTTGGCTGGCTATTTTCGCTTTCTGCCCTGTGGGGATCCACTGCCTGTATGTGGCAGAAGCGCTCTCCCTCTTTGCTGGCGCTGATATTCTTGCTGACTCATTTGTGAGTAAGCACCTTGCCTCTTCTCTTGCACTGGTCGGATATTCCTTTTCTACCTTTTTTTTTTTTTTTTTCACTCAACAAGCCCAAGTGAAGGTTCAGTTTACATTTCTAGGCAAAGGAGTGTTTTATTGTTTCTCCACGTCAGGAATCCCTTAAGTGATGAATTTGAAGAAAGCTGTTTGGGCTGGAACGTCTTTCTTTATTGTTGCCTAGTTTTGTTTGCGTGTGTGGGGTCCACTTTTTGACTTGACTTTAATTAACTACCCATCCTGTGGCATGCAGAGTGGGGAGTTATGAGAGACAAGAAAAATTAAACAAAATAGAACTGTTGTTCACTGGCTTCAGGAAAAACTCTGGGAGTCTGAAGGATTGTTACCCAGTGCTTCTGGCCTGCAGTCATAGAACAGGTACCAACAGATGGGCTGGCGTTAACCAGACTGCTGCCCTACAAGCTGTAGCCATTGCTATAGGCACTGGCATATGGGGACAGAGAGCTTAAAGAGCATTCCTGTGTGCTAGGCATTGAGTTAACCACGCCACATCCTTATTTTAACACGAGATTTGCCTTAGAGACTCTAATAATGGGGGTTATTAATTTCTCTATGGAGGTAGATAGGTAAGGACCCAAATATAGAAGTAAGTGACAATAATTGCTTATTTCCCACAATATATTGGTCTAGTGTAGTCGCTCAATAGGAGCCTGAAAGAGATTTTCAAAATTTGCAAGTCCTGTTGATTAGCCACTTAACTATAACAGATTATGGGGCTCCTAATGGGATTCAGAATCTAAAAGGAGGAAGTTATTGAAGTTTCAATTCACATGAACTCGGTTTAACCAAAGCTACTGAGTTTCCGTAAGTGCCAGACATGGTGGATACTGAGGCCACCGGGAGCTCTTTTAAGGAGCTTGAGTTGAGGGGGGCGGAGAAGGTTTTGGGGGTGGAGAGACATTCACAAAGCAAATAATTACAAGGCAATGAGGTAATTACAATATAGGAGAATTGCTTCAAGCAATTAAGATAGTTTGTGGAATTTTCAGCAAGGAGAATTATTTTGGTGTAAATTGCACAGATACACTTCAAGGGAAACCTGGTAGAACTCCTCTGGCTGTGTACCCTGTACATGTCTGGAATGCAAAGAGCTCACCCATCAGGGTGTCACTGAAAACATGTCACATGGCAGCAGCAAAGACAGAGAGGCTTGGGGGGCCCTCTTTGAGCTTTGTATGTCTGCAGGGAGCTCATTCTCCTACTGCAGTGCTGTAGGGTCCTGAAAAATCTAATGCTGTGAATTGGGGTGTTAGCAGGTCTATTTTTAACTGATAAAAGCCATCAGAACGGTTGATACATGTAAAGGTCTCCAGCCATGGTGTTGAGTGAATTGATGCTACTCTTCGGTGAGGGATTCATCTGCCTCTTTCACAAAGTTGCCTAATGGGCTATTAAACTGGCAGAGGGCATTGGCCATGTCTGAAATCCATGACAGCTATTTCGAGCTAGAGGGCAGGTGAACAAACATCTGTCACAGCTGAAGCTGGTACTAAGTGTGATTGGGAAAGCTGGCATAGTGGGGAAGGACAGTAAGCGTCCATGTTAATTTCCAAAGGTCAAGTGTTGATGAAATTAGGTGGGAAGTGGGCCTGGAAACCCCCTTTGACCTAAAGTGGCCGCAGTTGGAGATAAACAGACTCCTATTACCAAGCATTGAAAATGAAATAAATTCCCAAATCTGATTTCTTTGCTTATTTGGAGAATTCTACACTCTTTAATAGCTGAGATCAAATGAATAAATTCATTTTGATATGAGGTTAGTTATCATTTTAGAATTTGACCATAATATCTTACTCTCTGTAATTTTTCTCTGTAGATTAATTTTTGCCCACGGAAAGCAATTTGAGTTTGTCTTTGGTGAAACAACTTCTGGCAAGTGTTTTGGACCTTGGTTAACCTCGGGTTATATTCTTTTCATCGGGAATTTTTGCATGCGATCTGATCATCCACCATCATTGTGGGGAAAATGTTTTCAAATAGGAAAAAAAAACCCCAATTGGGTTTAAAACTGTTCTTTTTTTGCAAAGTTAAGCCCACCAATGGGAGGCTTACTCACCGAGTTGTGAGCCCATGTGCCTCACAGCTCAGTGAAAGCAGGTGAAATCACCTGTGGCCCACGAGGCTTGCAGATCCAAGTGTGAAGAGTTAAGCTTCAGAGGCAGCAGAGGCCAAGGAGCAAACTGTGCATGCGTGCATATGGGGTGGGGAGTAGAGGGCAACCTTTGTGCCTGAGGTCCAAGTGCCGAGTTCCCGGGATGTGTTGGGGACAAGGTTCTGACAGTGGCGTGGGTGGCAGTTGCTGGAGAGGCACTTTGGGTGCCATTTCTTTTTCCCACCCTAGAAAAAGACAGAAGTCCTGCCTGAGCCAGGATTGTGTCCTCAGTCCGCCCATCCTGTCCACCACTGCCTGCCCACCCATTGCTGCTTCTCTTTGGTCCTAGCGACCCATGCGGGTGGCAAGGATGGGACAGGTGCCTCTGTGGGCTCCTCACGCAGAGCCTCCTCCCCTTTCCAGAGGGGAGGAGGGTAAGCGAGTGTCACTGGCCAGTGGGAAGAGGATAGGCAGCCTTGGAGGTGAAGCTGGCAAAGGTTCTGTTTGGATGGGTTGTCTGGTTTAATGCTTTGCATGTGACAGAAGCTGGTTACGAGTGGCTGGAATGGCCAGGGAAGCTGGCTGGCGCTGCAGGGGCACTTGCAGTGGCGCTGTTCCCTCCTCTGATGACATGTCCCTGCAGACTTTTCACAACTTGCATTTCAGTCTGTGGTGCTGCACTTGTTTGGAGCATTCTGCATCTTCAAGCAACTCCAGGAGCCCTGGGGCCACTCCAAGTGCCTGTGCCTTTGTCCTTTCTGGCAGTGTCCTGTGGCCTGCAGCCTGGACACTTGCTCATTACAGGCCAAGGGCAGACAGTGGGGGAGGCAGGGTGGCAGTGGGTAGAACCAGGCAGCCAGGGTGGGATGGCAGGGCCATAGTAACGGAGCCTGCCTGAAGCTGCTCAGCAGACCCTTGCAGGAAAGCATTCAAGGGGCCCTTCCTTGCCCCACCTCCTCATCTGCTTGGCGGGGACTCGGTGAGTAGCTGTGGCCAACTTTCTCAGTTGGCTCCCTGAGACTCGCTGTCACTGTACTTGTGAACTCAGATTTTCTCATTCTATTTGGCCTGGGTAAGATGGAGATTTGAGTTCACAGCTGATTGCTACTGGACGTGAGAATCACAGAGCTGAGGCTCCATTTTGCTGTGATCAGATCTTCTCTGTTATCTTTTGAGAGGCTGTGAGCCAAGGAAGCTGGAGGGTTTTTTTTTTTTTGAACCCTCTGTCAAGACTGAGAGTTCAGCTAATTAGATTGGATGGTCACGTGGCACATTTCCAGCTGGCAGGGAAGGAGGGAGAGAGGGAGAGAAAAAAGGAGAGAAAGAGGGAGGGAGAGATAGAGATATGCTTTTCTCTCCTGACTTCCTGCCCTGACCACAGGCTCGCTCAAGGTTCCCACCCTGGCTTGGATGGTGATTTCTGGAGAGGCACTTGCTGAGGTGCCCTAGACACAGAACAGGACCAAGCAGAGCAGCTGCCTTTGTCTACAGTGTGGGGGCCCCACACCTCTGACCCACCCAGAGGTCGGGTTACCGGCAGGGCAGAGAACGTGCGTGCTGAGAAGCTACCCTGAAGCTGGGCGCAGGGATTGTAGCGGAAGGCAAGGCTGGCTAGAAGCGAGGGGCAGAAGTGAAGGACGAGGAGGATGGAGATGGAGGCAGCCTTTGTGAATGAGCAAGGGCATTTTGGGGGACCCAATGAGGGACAAGAAATCCAAGCCCAGGATGTCTTGCCTGCTAGAGGTGCCTGAAAACCATGGCAGCTCCTGGAAGCTCTTCTCTCCGACCCTTGTCTGCAGGATAGCTCAGTCTTGGAGACCAGTCCCATCCAGCAGGAGAAGGATCCACTGTAGTGTGGATCATGGTGTAGAGCTTGTTCTTCATCCCGCTTGGCCAAGCCCTACCTGGTTTCCCTCATCTGGCCACTCCTATGCCCTCTTCCTTGCTCTTGCTGAACCCCACCTCCCTAGTGCTGTTTGGACTCCCTCCAGCCACCCCAGGTCCTGTCTACCTCTTGCACCCCAGGTAGCTCCTTGTTCCTTTCCCCACTGGCACTGGCCTTGTGGCCTTGGACTTCTGTGGGATCTTTGCCCAGTGGCACCTGGGCTCCCTTTTGCAGTGGACTGACCTGAGAGTTC